GTCCAACCAAAATGGTTCAATGCAAGTATCCTGAAAGGCATAAAGGCTCGTGACAAGCTTCTCAAGAAAGCCAGAAAAACCAAGCAGAGAGCAACTGGAATTTTTGAGCGAGTAAAAAACAGTGACCAGACTTATCAGGAATACAAAACAATTGTACATAAAAACTAAAATTGCTGAAAACAAGAACAATTCTTGGAAACTCTGGAACGTGAGTAAGTGTCTGTCAAATGACAATAAAAGTGCCGAACACGGATTAAATAATCTAGTAGGAAACGAGAAAAATATCAAAAAATGGTTGTGGTTATTCATTGTAGTGAATAACAATAACAGCTAAGTTTTTCATTTGTCTCACCATGTAGTCACAGGTGATGTTGATCGCAACATTTCGACTGCATACTGCTAGTCTTCTTCAGGTGATGAGGTCGACTGGTCGTGCATGATCTTATAAAGCATGATGCTCTGCTGTGATTAGTTGTTTTTCAACAGCTCTGATTGGTGCATTTCTATCCTTGCTGTTTCATTCAGTAACTTGCTCCCTTGGCTGTCCGCTGTCGCACGGCTCTCCTGTTGTCTTGTATTTTGATCGTGGGCATCCATGCTTCTTGAATTTCTATTCCACCCTCCTACTATTGAAAGTTAGGATAGTCTATGCAAGTAGTTCACACAGAGAATGGCTATACTGCGGAAAATAAGATGCTTCCTGCTTCTTGATCAAAGGAAACTTTATTTTAATGCAAAGGTCAAGTAGACAAAGCTGTATGCCTCAACCGTGTGGACATCGTACTCTGCAGAAAATATTCTAAAAGTTTTCAGGCTACAGAAACACACAGCTGGGTGCTGATACGAAAGCAACGAGTGTTGAACTTTTTAAACAATTAGTTTGGGTCCCTTTTTATGATGAAGCAAGAATATATAAGTCAATTTTGGTATTTAACAGACTGCTGGCGATTGCCCATCCATATGAATCAGATGTTAATAAGAAATGCAGATGTTACTGAATGAGCGATTAAACATGGACAATTAAACCTTGTCTACCCCCAATTCAAATGGGAGTCTGAGAGGGTGGAGGGGGTCATCCACAGTATCAACTATCCGCCTCTGGAATAAGATCCCCAGCGAGATGAGAAAGAAACAGAATCTTATAGGCTTCAAGAAATCCATGTTAGAACATTTACTGAATAATTTTTGTCATGTATTTTTAAATTTGACATTTTATTAACTGACCTTATCTTTGCCCTGTTTTAATATACCAGATAGTTTAAATTTTAACTTTTATATCATAATTGTATTTTAATAACTCCTTACACAGTAAGTCTTGAATGCTTTTATGTAATGTCATTAGTTTTTTAATTTGTACTATTTATAGGGCCAGGGGTTCTTCAGTATATTTACTGCTTTGTGTAGCCCTTGTTAAATAAAGTTGATTACGATATTATTATTATTACATATAAGTCAACTAAAATGAAAAAAATGTCAGTGAAGAAGCTGGTTTATCCAAAGTTTACAACAATCATTGTGTGGGAGCTACTGCCATCACTCTCAGCTTCTACGCCATGATTTCAATAGGCCTATTTGTGGCCATTTCAGAACACCAAAGTGGGCAGTCTCGTGATCTACAGCTCATCATTTGACCTCTTAACTCCACAAATGCAGTCAAATCTTTTAAGAGCCTTGCCTACTTCCATCAGAAGTTTATCAGCAATTGATGCCGTTCCAAACCAAACAAGTGACGACAAAATAGCTCTCAAATTGGTTTTTACCCTGAAATTCAGTCCATTTCAGAATGACATCAAAGGATGGTTTTCCACTTTCATCTCACACTTTCCTCATGATTGAACAATGGCACTAATTGTTTAGACATACAAAGCACAGCTTTTTTTGGTGAATTTCATGAAACGTGATTACATTTACTTTGATTGCATTGATGAGTAAGGTCGTACCACAGGTTGTGCAATGGCTGGTTTTTACACAATTGTTTCTTTCGTTGTCTGGTCAAGTAAGACTATATAAACATTTTTGGTTCAATAAAAGGGGACTCTTTCGATGATTGCCAGGAGCATCCACTATTTGTCATCCCTGAAACTGCAAAGGTGTTGCCTAAAATGTAATATTTACATCTGAATGATAACTCTTAGATGCCAGCTTGCGACTCTGCTCAGACAGATACACTATACCAACTAAGACCATTCCTAGCAAGGTTAACAGCCAATTTGTCTCACTGTTATAACCCCAATAGCAAGCAGGCAGTGGAAGAAGCAAGGATCAAGTATAAAGGGGTACACTTCTCTCAAACAGTATATGCCACTGATATCCATCAAACGTCCAATGAAAAGGTGGAGTAGAGCTGATAGTTACTCTGGATACTAAGATATTTTTGACATTGACACAGGACATCATGATACCATTGTGGAGAAGGGTCTTTTTAACCTGTCGTTAGTCGCCTCTGCCTGGGAATCAGGGGAAAGTGGTAAAACGACCAAATACCTCAAAAAAACCTGTCATTAAAGTGATGCTAAACTGTGGAGCTCACTTTCTTTAAACATTTGCATGACAGGACGGAAAACGTGTGCACTGTAAGTACCTCCCGTTGTCCCATACAAAGCCTTAGAAAAATTTTCAAAGGCTTTGTATGGGCTTTTTTTCTGGAGTATCTGGTAGCGCTCCAGGTTGCTTCAATATGCTTACCGCAAGGCGTCATAATCTCGTCACTTTGTGACAGAAATGTCGTTTAACTGAAAGTGAACCAGAACACCAACAGACCTATACAAGTCTCAATTTTCCGATGAGGGAATGTTCGGCATCAATGACACGTCATCGCTTGTCAAATTTTGTCAGTAAACATGACTTCCACTTACGTAATTGGCACAGGATATACTACTACCGATGAGAGAATAATAAATAAATCTGATCAGAAGTCTGTGGCAGGTCGGGTGATATTGAAACGCGTGGAAAATGCATTTTACATTTAAAAAAATTTTATACTTGGAGGATTTCAACTGCTTTTTTTTTTCTAGTAGTCCTTTCATAAACCTTGTACCCTGTTTCATCCACATTAATTCTTCGTAGTTGTACATTCACTGCGAACAAAGCTTTCCGGTTAATTTTTATCGTTTTATCGCGTTGAGATAGGCCGCTGTCCACTATAATTTTCTACAACATTATATCAGTATGGAAACGCGGGCACAAGCTCAGCCACAGGGAATCGAGTACCGAAGACGATCGCTAACAAAAAGTGCGCGCTTGGCGCGTGCTTGGCAAAGTAATCATGCCACGACGATCTCGGGAAAGTACAATCGAAGAAAAACGCAGCATGCGAAATCAAAGGAGGAAACGTAAACGATTGTCAAGGACAGCTAGGGAAAGGGAGAACAGAGAAATGAGAACACAAAAGGAAAGAGATGCATATTCTTGGCGCGAATGTATTATGGCAAATGGAAAAAGAATTAGTCGAACAGAATAAAAAGACCCTGGACAAAACCAAGGTAGGTACTCGGTTAGCGTCAGAATAGAATAAAATAGGTATCAGAAAATGAGCAGTTGGTTACAAAAAACGATATCACCGAACTGAAGCTGAACGTAATCAAACTAGCATTGTCTTGCATTGTACAAAACGTCCTGGGGTTGACTTCAACATAAACTTATAGGGGGAGGGGAGAGTGTAGCCCTCAAAATTCGTCTCCTTTTTATGATGAAATGAAAAAAAAACTACAATCATTTTCGTAAAATAAGGCAAGGAATCCCCATTTGAAATTGCCTCATTCTGAAATGATTTAGCGGGAATTCATTCATTTCTGTTTGCCAAGCAGACAGGCAAAACTTTCGTCTGAAAAGGACAGTCATTGAGCTTTGAGCATTTTCCCTTCCATCTTGCCATGTAGTGTTGATCTTGCCCTACCAAGGTTACCACAGATCAAAAAATGGCCAGGGATAGAAATTTCAAGGTCAGGGAAAAGTCAGGGAAATTAAAGTTTTTACACCACTGAGTTTCATACCATGCTGAAAGAAATATTTCAGAAGATCTCAGCAATATTTTAATGAAGAAGAGGAGAATGGACATTTTGTATCCATTTCATCAGGGAAATTTTATTTTTATCATGGATAGGTCAGTACCTTAATAGTCAGGGAATTTTGGAAAGTTCTGTTTGTATTATATGAAAGGGATAAAGTTTATCAATAAATCTATTAACATAGGAATTACGATTTCCTCGATTGTGATTAGTTTTAAAAACTCCTATTTTCCACTAATTCACTTACCAAGTTGTTGTTGGACAGTTCAATAAGCCAAATACATTGAAAGTTGTAGTTTAAGTCAACCAACCACATTCAAAGTTGTGGTTTAAATCAATCAATCACAACCTTGGTTTCAATCACCATAGAAACAGTGTACAGATTCCGTTTCTTCAAAACGGAGAATTGGTTTCCCTTGAGCAATGACAATATCTAAGTGTTCTTTTTAATTTGGAAATTGTAATTTTTATGATTAATTGGTAAAAGGACTTTGTGTCATTCGTTTCGGTCTGTAATCACACTCGTGATAAACAAATTGTACTCCCACTATGCAGTCGTCTGATTTTGTTATCACTCATATGATTACAGACCAAAGACTACTCAGTCCTATTACCACTTATTACACAATCTAGCATGTGAATCTTATTAAGCTGACTAGCTTCACTTTTCCTCTGTTTATTACTTTATTCCAGATTAGAGACAGGAATACAAAATCAGGACCACCCAGTAGCAAATTTGCCACTGTTAATTTAATTGATCCATCTGAGCTTCAACCAATCAGTGAAAAGGAAGTAATACTAGGACAGGGTTCATATGGCCGGTGCATTTTAAAATCTTTCAAAAGATTAAACGTTCTTGTGGTAGAAAAACAATGTCTGATGCAAACCTCTAAAGAGGTGGTAAAAGAGGCACAAATCATGTAGACTCTCACACACAAAAAAACTCCTGCAATAATAGGAATCCAGCTTGAAAGAGAGCCTATATCTCTAGTGATGGAGTTCAAAGGGGAAGAAAATACATCCACAACAGTCAGTAAACGATTGTATTGCAAAGAATCCAATGGTATATTAGAGAAAGTTAACAGTTCACTGACAAGCAAAGACTGGCTGATCATTTGTCATGATATCACAGATGCTCTCGCTCACATTCACTCCAAAGGCTTTCTTCATTGTGGTCTCAAATCAAACAATGTTCTTGTAACTGATAAACATGGCCAAATTATAGACTTTGGAAAGGCCTGTGACAGTTCATTTCCCCCTGCAAAGAAGTACACTTTTCAATATAGGCACATTGCTCCTGAAGTTCTGAATGGCACCCATTGTAGCAAAGCCAGTGATGTTTATTCCCTTGGCCAAATCCTGCATGAAGTAGCTACAAAGCAAGAAATTCCAATGTTACTTGTCAATGCTCAAAAATGCTTGGACAGCAACACCACAAGGAGACCAACAACAAAAGGACTAATGGCATCACTGGCCTCTTTAATATGTAGCCTCTAGAGGAAGTCAGGAATAAGGGGGATAGGGGTTAAATGAAAAAAATTGAATTGAGAATGATTCAGTGGGCTAGTAAAACAACAAGGGGAGGTTGTGCTCTTTCGCAGTATTTACTTTTGTGAAGATATTCAAGAAGTGTATTGCTGGATGGGGATGACAACAAGAGCCACCTGGCTTTTTTTTCAATTGAGGACCTTCCTATACACAAGAGTTATGACCAGTTTCCCTACTTAAGAACATACTGTCCTATAACATAACCTTTCTTGCTAGTGATGAAGGCCTCACCTTGTAGTTTAGGTTGCAAGAAACTTACAAAGTCACAATATGTTTCTCAGCAATGTTTCTTAGCTTTTTGGCTATGCCAAGTCCAGTGATGTACATGTAGAACCTGAAGATTGCCCTTAAGTTGTTAGATGAATTGATTAGATGACGATTTTCTTCACCGACTTTATAGCTCTGATCAAGGAAAATATATGAAAAGGTTTTGTCTAAGATAGGCTTCTCCTAATTGTTCTCACAGCAATAACATTCAGAACAATCAAAACAAAAAGACTTGAATAAGTAAATAACTAAATGAATTACTGAATGAATAAGTAACTAACTAACTTACTTAAATATATACACATTTTTAAGAAATAAAGTCAACCAGAGTTGAAATTCAGTTGAAAGATATTTGTTTCTTGGTGACAGTGGCAGCTATTGTGTTAAATTACAGATGCAAAAATTTAGCAAGTGTTTAACTCTAGCAATGTTTTCATCAGAGGAAATACTTGCTAATAATGATCCACATGTGAAAACATGAAAATCATATTAGGCATGTAATTTACCCTCAATACTTTTTTCGAGCATTTGGCAGCCTTTTTTAGATCCCTAGCCCATAGAATTTCCATCACCTCCCATAGCTTGGGGGCAACTAATGGCTATGGATAATTCTGGATCAGCCAAAATGACACATTTTTGCTAGTTTGCTGATTCCTGTCAACAGAGACAAATATCACTTTGAGATGATCAATTTTGGTTGTAAACAAAAAGAAAACTGCATGTAGGCTGCTGGTGGAAACACTCTGTATTAGTCTGCCCTCTTCCACAGTTAGCAGCGGGATTAGGAAAAAGTCACACCACAGTAAATTAAAAACAAAAAAAATTTATCTCAAAAACAGTTCCAGCAGCACAGAAAGGCCACAAAGTTGGATGGATGGCCAGGTATACAATTGGAAAATAAATTGCAAAATGTGTACCAGCATGCTTGTGTTAATCCCATATTATGAAGTATGAGTTGTTTTCAGTAATACAGTGTCAAATTTTATGGTATAGTTTTCTGTAATAATAACTAATTATCATCATATTGGCTTTCCATTGTTAGACATTAATGCCAATTTCTTGACCAATTGGAAGTAAAACCAAGTATAACTTGTTTGCATATCTAAAAGTAAATAAACAAAGTTAAAACTGGGTGGGTTGCCAGAGAACCCATCTGTTCTGGTGTGTTGTTTTCTGAGTTCTTAGAAATAAGTGCACACTATCTTAACTCTGGTGTAATTTTGAATATCAGAATCCTGAAGAATAGCCCTTACTAACAGACCTAGTGCATGACACAGTAGTTTGGGTGTGTTTCTATCTGACCAAATGATAGGCTTTGACCTGTTTTGAGACTTATCCGTGTCAATGGTACCGTCCATCTAGTGTGTAAACATAGTATTTTTAAAATGAATTCAGTACACTTATCCATTTGATCATTATCATCTGCCACACAACTGTGTTCCCTATTACATTAGTGTTCACTGTGAGATCTAGAATGACATAAATGTAGGCAAAAATGGTATAATAAATTATTTGAGCCTAAGCCTTCTTGTAGTCGAAATATTGGGAAAGAAAGGAAGAAGAAAATAATCAAGAATAGAAGAATTAGGCATATGCAAGATAACATTCTGTTTCCATTGTTACTTTAGCAAATCAGTATTCCTGTTGTGAAGATGTCACATCTTTTATCAACAGGACTGCCAAGATGACTCATCTTTTTGCCAGTTTCTGTTTGCTATTGTAACAATAACTCTTGCAGTCCACTGGCAAAGGCCAAAAATTAACTTAGGAATAAAACAAGGATGCTGTGGCTCAAAAAACTTTGTATTAGGACACTGCCAGCTTGAACCTAGGAGTCAGCATTTAGGCTTTGAGTTTAAGCAGAGACTTTTCCCTTTTTCTAAAATTTATGAAAAACCAAGGTATGTTATTTAACATTTTCTTTCAATTATTAAGTTTCATTGTAGCAACTTCACCTTCACCTAACTTCTTCGCGCCAAGTGGCACAGAAGGCCTCATCCCTGAAACATTTTTGTATATTCATCTCTCATCTCGTACCTATCCTGTGTATCCGTGTATGTAAGCTATGTTCGCGCTAAAAATCTAAAGGTGGGAGGATAACCATAACTCCACTGACTCACCTCTACAAGTTAACATTTCTCACAGTTCCTCGCATATTAAATAAGTCGTGCTGATTAGACATGCTCGAAATGTAAATGGTATTTTTGACAGAATAATTGAAGACAAGTACGCATGCGTTAAGGGTGTCTGGCTCGATATTTCGATACGCCCACGAAATCAATTGACCGTGAAGATCTGGGAGAAAGCCGTTTACCAACAGGCTACTGGAAAGCGCTTTTAGTTATTCACCATACAGGATAGCTGCATACCCACAAATATGTCGTAGAAAGAACATGCCATCCTACCACTAACAAACAACTTGTGGTTGAAAGTCGGTTAAGACAACAGGACAACAGGAAATAGAATGGAGTCTTTTATTAAGATTAAAGAATCATATTACGACATTCATAACATTAACCAGGACTCTATTCACGAGCGATGACACATTGATCTCTATAGTTTGAAAGGTTATGGAGTCGCATTACAACACTAACCAGGACCCCAACAACTAGCGATGATAAGTTGATCCCCTACAGTTTGACATGCTTTCACACATTCCCAACAGACCGGGGGAAATAACACTGCGGGAGATGATACTTGCAGTAAAAGCCATATCCGTCCTCTCATGCTATGCTAATCTTTACTTCCATTTAAAACAAAATACAGTCTTCTCATTGTGGTGTAGTGTTTTATATGACAAATAGCTAAATAAGAGTAGATATTGCAGATTAGATTATCACTTAATGTATTTTAATACTTTTGATGTACTTCTTAAGATACAGTTATTTAGATTTTACTTGTTTTCATTTTTCTTTTAAATACAGCCTTAATGTCTTATTTTAGGCCACTTCCACTCAGTAATGAATATGCCTCCACCTGGAACTGAGAAATCTTTCCACAGCAACCTGGGGACAAATGGCAAAAGACAGGCTACTTATTACACAATGGTCGTGTCACCATGTGGAAGCTAAGCCAAGGACGTAAACAATGTAAGCTTCAAAACCACATGGAAATGACTTTTCTAGAATATCAGGCATTGTTATCGCCATGCTAAAGCCTGAATCTAAGACTAACCCTTGCGAACTGAATTCCCAGTTTTCTGGGAATTCCTAGGAATTCCTAGGAATTCTCAAAAATTCCCAATTATGCAAATGATCCTTGCGATCTGAATTCCCAGTCTTCTGGGAATTCCCAGGAATTCCTAGGAATTCTCAAAAATTCCCAACTATGTAAATTAACTCTGATTTAGAAAGCTTGGAATTACTGGGAATTTCTGGGAAAGGAAGACTCTAATTTTGTGAGGACTTGGAATTCCTAGGAATTCCTAGGAATTCTCAGCTATACAAACTACCTATAACTATTTGTGGACCAGAGTTCCAACGCACCTCTGTAATCGCATATAGTTACTTCTGTCTCTTGTACAAATGTTTCTCCTTTGTAAGTAGCACTCTACTCTGTTGTCACCACTGCTTTAAGTTCAGTGGAAACGACTGACTGAGGAATCGAGATGGCGGTGTTAGAACGTGTTGCTGAACGCTTGCTACGGTCAAACTTTGTAGATTTAGGTACCGGTACACTGGGGTCATCTATGTATCTCTTATACTTCCTAATGTGGTATCCTTCTTTTATAAATATGAGGTTAAAAGACGATTTGTAGTCACATTCAAAACTGCGATTGGCTTGTGTTATTTCTCACATTTGCCATGAACACAACTCAAGTGAGTCTCGAGTCTTTATTTCCTCGACAACTTTCGGCCACAAATCGTGCATTTGTAATACGATCGATTCTTGTCAATTATTTCTACATAGAGTGAGCTCAAATCATTATTTATATCACCAAGGTATCCACCGTCTAGAAGCAGAGAACCGGTCGGAGAAGTCGGATTAAAGTTGTGCGCTTCTCCTAACAATGCAATCGGCAAGCCAGCGGATTCACTTTGCTAGCCAATGACAAGTCCTAAACGATCCACGTGATCATACCCGTGATCGGAAACAAAGAAGACTCCATTTCGCGCTCATCTTTGAATGTACTTTTCATCGGTTGAACGCTTTTCTAAACTGTTTTGCTTAATATAACATCCCGAAAGATAGCTTTTATTGTGGTTCAATGGGAAAACGAGAATAGCGTGAGTGTTGTAAAAGAAAAGAAAGTCGTTGGCGCCGTGGAGTTAAAAGAAGGGACAACAGTTGATATTGACTGGTACAAACAAGGGTCGAGTGGCCATCTGTAAAGCTACGATTTTGAAAGTTTGTGGTGAGTAAAAAATTGCGATATTTGTTACGTGATCAAAATCTTATAGAAGAATAGATGTAGCGGGTTGAATAAAGCTTACATAACGCTCGGCGCAACTGAAACTAGAATAATTCTGAGAATCGAATCGGTCACTTGCATGCCGCAGTTTCTTAAGCTTATGCTTTACAATGAAATAAACCTATCAGTAAGGTTTCAAGATTCCTATAGTCACGTTTGGGAACATTCAAGATTCATAATAGGAACTGTTATTAAACAAACCTTAGTACATAAAGAAGCCCTCCTTGGTAAAAACAAAATAATGTATTCAGCCCTTTTTTAGTAAAATCCA